GATCTGGCCACCCCAAACCCATAATACCATCAACCGGTTGATATCCAAAAACATCAGCAATTGTGGTCGACAAACCAAACTTTTGTTTTGCTACTTTCAGACCAGAGAACTAAAAAATTCATGGTTTTCAAGTAATTTTTATAAAAACATAATTATAACCGTTTAACAGCTAGATTTTTAGAAAAGCGTAAGTGCGCACTTCAAGGACGTCATTGCCGAGATAACCAGAGCATGAACCGGATCCGTACTGAATAGAGAATGCGGTCCCATCTGCTGTGTACGTTGACGACTTACTGTAATTTTGTAATTTTCACTTTAGAAAAGCTTAAAATTAGCAACAGGAGCTACATATAAATCGTGAATAATAAATGCCTTTTGTCATAAAGATGTTTTTTGAAACCAGATTCTGAATATCCTTTGCAAGCTTCAGTTTTGCATTCCGAGCTGATAACCCACAGATTAGAGCTGCCAGTGTCAGGAACAATAGTGAATGTTTGTGCTGAAAATTTTATTTCAGATTTACTGACGAGATAAAGTCGGTAAAACTGATAAGTTTTATAATTTCAGTTGCTATTTTACTTGAATAATTTGTTCTTGATTACCAGGTGTTCCTAAAGTTATGTTGCCAAGATAAAAGTCATCATAATAGTCAATAAATGTCATTGTTCCAGTATTTTTGCTGTGGATTAAACGTTGCATTTGTTGCTTCATCAAAAAGTCACGGTATTTTCCGGCTCTGTAAAACGAACATTAAGCATAATTTTTTGCAAATGTTTTTAGCTAGTAATTTTTATATAATAGATTTTTTTCATTTGAATGACAGAAATAGTAGTTAATTACTCCTTCCTTACTTGATCAGTCGGCGTCTAAGTGAGCCAGAATTCTTGAGCTCAGCCCGATGAACAGCTGCATAGGTGCAAGCCACCAAAAGCAAAACGAGGAAGTACTTCATCCTAATATTCTAACATTAGTATTCAGTTTAAAAACTAGTTCAGTTTTCAACAATCACTTTATTCTTTTTAAAGTAGTCTGATCTACTGAGGCTAAGCGGAAAAAGTAATGGTAATTATTATTTCGAATGTCCCAAAAAAGGAAATCCTAGAACATGAGCAGCAAACTTTTTTCAAATGAATTGTAAAAGACTAATAATTTTTTGGCAATTGGATTGTTTAGTGTTCACAAGTATATGGAAGAGAGAAAGATTTTTTGGGTGGTTAAAGAAAACTCTGGTTTACAGTCGGGATGTATGAAGATTGGCGGTAACGGAACAGCAAAAAACCAAAGGTGAAGAAGTTGACGAGCTTATAAAGTGTTCAGTTTGTGATGCTTATGTTTCGGTGTCTACGAATTGCGTCAGAGGATTTTATCCAGATAATCAAAACTATGCAATGCGCAGTAATAAAAAAATTGTACTGCTCACATTTTCTATTTTTTTTCAAAAAAAATATATTATTATTTCCATTTTTAATTATTTCTTATCTTTATTTTTCGTCGTTTGAATGCACCGCAAACATCAGGTACATCAAAAATTATCCATAGCATTGTTTATATTTGTAAACTATTAGTACAAAGTATGCTTTTACATTATTAGTAATAGAAGTGTAGTGGTGTCGCAAGGCGTAATAGTTTACTATTTTTAACGCTTTATCAAATTAAAAACTGTGTTTAAACGCTGAATTTCTTAGGAAGTGCTTATGGATAATAGAACTGCTGACTGTTTCGTAACAATTAATTTCTAATAGTCTCAGAGTATGTTTAATATATAAAATAAATTTTTTTATTTGCTACTTTTTGTTTCATCAAAAAATTCGGTTTCATCGTAAACAACATTGATTCATTCAGCAAAATTTGGACACTGTCTTTACTGCTCCAAATTTTTTTTCGAGACCTGAATAAAGAATGACGGTGAATCTATCCTTGCGCCAAGGAGCAGGCTGCACAATTTTTTTTAGACGTAAGAACGCAGTCTCTGGATGAGATGCAAAAGGTTTTTGAAAAGAAAAAAAAATTAAATTGAAAGAAAAAACTACTTTATGACATGTAAAGGTGAAGACGGTAGCTGAAGCACTACAAGTTATTAAAAATAAAGCTGAACTAAAAAAAATGTTTTGAAATTGCTTGTAAGTGAAACTTAGCTGAGAAATACAGTTTATCAGAAATGCCATTATGTGGGCCGGCAAAAAAGTGTAGAGTTGCAAATTTTTTTGCTTTAGGTAACTCAGTTGAAAAGCTGTTTGAAAAAGAACAACTTTTCCAAGATTATTTTTTTTGCTGTTGTTCTGTTTTCACCTCTAAATTTGTTTTCAATATTTCATATTTGTGGTGCGAGTGCTCGCTTCTCATTAGTTTTGTATATGTGAAAAAAAAATAGAGAAATACTGTTGCAACTGTCATTGAAATACCAGAGAGTTTTGTGTGGAAAAAAAGGTGAATTGGTATAGAGATATAGTTCAAAAAATTATTAACAGCATGTAAGTCATTAAGTAGCCGACACTCTCGGGATAGGCAGTTTTACTTTAATAATCTCAGGCAGTCGTTTTGGTCAATTTGAAAAAACCAGTCAGCTGCACGGTTTTCAGAATTCGAGTCTGGAAGTCATTCGAACCAGTTTTTAACTTCTGCAGGTAATAGAAAGAAAAAAAGAATAAGGAATTCTTTATCAAGTTACTGTATCACAATGGATAATCAATTTTCAGCATCTTTTAACTGATCTGAAAATGCTGTACTTCAAAGTGAATAATTATCTACGGTGAGAAGCATGTTGAGCATGATATTGAGGAAAGAGTGGGCGGTGATTAGATGTCAAACACCTCCTGAACAAATGGCGAGGCCGGTTTCTTCTCAATCCAAGGTGGCGACCATTGTTGGTGAAACATCTGTGGCGTGTTTTACAGAGAGTTTTCGAATCCTGATGAGAGTAAGCTTTTGTTGAAAAATTGAAAAAAAGAATTTTAATTTGGAATGATTGTGTCTAAAGTTCTTAGCAAGAATGTGTAGTTACTTCATAATAACATCAAATTGCATATCCTGAATACCGCAAAAATAATAAATTAGTATGTTCAGATAAGAAATGAACTAGATTCCTGTTTTAATGCAGTTATTTTCTCTACGAATTTTACGTTTTTTATCTGTAAAAAATCTGAAAATTTACAGCATATAAAAGCTGTTCATAACAATTTTTTCATTTAAATTTTTGGTTCTTTACTTTATCGAGATGCTGAAGCTGCTTTACCGTTTACAACTCAGCATCGCTTTCGTGATTTTCGGCTTGTAAGGTAGAAAGATCAAATTAAAATTTGAAAAATTGAGGTATTTATAAAGGAAGCTTAAGAAAAGTTGTAACTTTTTCGAGCCTCTACCCCACCGACCGTTTCAAATCTGTGGTTCCGCGGTTGACTTTTTTTTTTATGAGTAAAAAACCTTTTTTAGAATTACTGTTTTTTCAAATTTAGGGTTGATTTTGTAAAAAAAGTTTGAAAATTAAAGATAAAGAACTATTTAAAGAGATTAAAAATCTATCTAATTAACATTTTGTTTTTCAAGAAAATATCATTATTTTAATTTTAAATTTCTATAGTTTTTTAGTTTTGCCCTCTCAAGGATATTTATTTGATATAAGCTACTACCAGCCCTAAATGATAATACCGTCTTTAGCTTTTATGACACTTTTTTTTTGTCTTTTGGTCTACTGTAAAAAAAAATTTTGCTTTTTCTTCTCAAACAAACCACTGTGCAATAAGTTTTACTGTCTGATATCAAGGAAACTGTACATTTGGTTTATCCCATAGTTCAATCGAACATCTGTCGAAAGTGCGCGCTTAGTGCATGGAACTTACTTTTTTTACATACCGTGGTTTTTTGATGTAAGCGATGAAAGAAAGTAGAAAAAAGAAACAAATGAAAAGGTCAGAGATTGGTACTTTCTAAACAATTCTGAAAGAAACAAAATGCTGTAGTTAAAATTGCAAGAGAATGCGGAAAAGTTTTATCAAAAAGAAGCCAAATTCTGTTGTATGCCGTATTCAGACAGACTTGTCACCAACAGTAAAAACTAGTTTGAATTTTACCAGAACCTTTTTTGATTCAGATTTTTTAAGTATTTTTACAACAAAAACGGCGTTCTAGTTTTGTGACTGATTCAACTGTTTAAAAGCTGTATTATAAGAGAAACCTTTTTTTGCTATCTGCTTGTACTTCTTCTCTGCAAAAACTCAAATAAATAAAGGTAAAAGTAATGCGAAGAAGTTCATTATTTGCCTCATTTTTAGCAAATCATTGATTAAAATTAGAACGAAAAATAGCTAAGGGTTTAATGCGAGAAAAGAATTAACATCAATTTGACATTAAATAATCAAAGCTATTGCAGTTCTTATCATCAGCAAAAAATATTGACATTTTAATAAGCCGGTAAAATAAAGTGTGGTTAAGCAATAATTGATTTTTTTGAATTATTTATTACCTTTAAGACATTTATTATTGGTTTTTTATTAGACATTTTTACAGCACTAGTTTAGCTTCAAGAAACAAACTTACAATCTGAACACCAAAATGTTTGTTGTCTGTTTGAAAAAAATTTCTATTTTATTTACCTTAGTGAAATACATTTATATAAAAATATTTTTGATATATTTACATCCTTGAAGACGTCTCAAAAAAATTGATACCCTCTGAAAAAAAAAAAAAAAAAACGATATTTCATTGACCGTAAATCATGAGCCATCTGTAATGTAATATTATTTCTCTATCACATGCAATCGCCTCTGCGGCTATAACTGTAATCAGAAATAAAAAATAAAACAACGAAAAAAAGAGTTGAAACTAAACGATCATCAAATATTTATTTTTTTCAAACTTTGCCAAAGGTGTTTATTCGTCAGTTTTAGTTTTGCCAAATTAACTGCATTATTTAACAAACAGTTTTTCAGCAGACATTCAGTAATGTTCAATATGCCAAAATAATTTGAAAAAAACTGTGATAAATGTAGTGTTTGACATAACTTTCACCAAAAAATTAATTAACCTTTGCCTAATTTGCTTTTTTTTTCCAAAATAACGATACCAGAGAGTTTGGTTGAAAACTTTTTAAATTTACAATGTCTATGCTTGTGTTCCATATGTTATGTCTATAAACAGTTTACAGGCAGAAGAAGGAAAAACAACAAAGCTATAACGATAAGAGTTATGATGCACTGATTTACAGTGCAAAAACGTGTGATTCTCTGTTTCAGACAGAACTAGTATTCAAGCGCAAAAACTTCTAAAAAAAAGTAGTAGTTCTTTTTTTTTTTTGTAAATTGTGACTCAACATCAAAAAATAGATTGTTCTTCATCCTCTCTTTTTTTTTGCTTTTTTAATGAGTTGATAACATTTATTACGAAAATTTTCACTGCAATTGATTACAGTCAAAGAAGAAGAAGAATATTCAACAATTCAACAAGTTATAGCTCGAATTATTGAAGTACAACACAATTAAGTTAAAATTTACTTATTAGCTTTATTCTAATGATAAAACTAAAGTTCTTTTATGACCTGTATATTATTGTTGAATGACATATTAATTATCTGTTCATGAAAACATCGAATTACTGCTATAGTATATTTGAGTTTTCAAAAATTTCACCAGCAAAAAACGTAAGCTACCAGAAAAAGAACTTGAATAAACTTCGACAATCTCTAATTATTAAGATTCAATACTTGCCAGCTGGAGACTTTTGCTGCCTCTCTACCGTAATTTTTTTTTCGTTTAAGAAGCATTTCTTAAAAGAAATTTCTTCCAACGAAAGTGGTGCGCGTCTATCATAGCGGTGTTTCCGTAAACGAAATGTTGTTACTGAAATAAATTCTTGCATAATAGTTGTAAAAACAACTTTCTGCTCTTTCCTTTTTTTGATTGGAATTCTTAGGAAGAAACAAGAGCTTTTTTTTACAATATTTGCTGCAATACAACATAT